GAAGGTATATTAGATTAATAATCATGATAAGATAACTTTATACGACGTGAAGGTATATTAGATTAATAATCATGATAAGATAACTTTATACGACGTGAAGGTATATTAGATTAATAATCATGATAACTTTATACGACGTGAAGGTATATTAGATTAATAATCATGATAAGATAACTTTATACGACGTGAAGGTATATTAGATTAATAATCATGATAAGATAACTTTATACGACGTGAAGGTATACGGAATTAATAATCATGATAAGACAACTTTACACGACGTGAAGGTATGTGTGATTAATAATCATGCCACGTTAAAACCCAAACTCTTGTGTGTTATCATGTAGTCGATTGTGTTATGAGGTTTCATAAAAATAGTCACAGTTTAATATTTAATAACATTTCAGTGTTTACTCTGAAGACTGGACCTTGAAAAATCACATAGAATAAAAAATATGGTCATTCCCAGTTCGTTTCGGTTCACATAACATAAAATGGCCTCTGCCGAACTAGAGAACCTGTTTAAAGCTTGTGACACCAGAGGGACAGGATATTTAGGACAAGAGGAGCTGCGAGATTTATGTGCTAAGTTTGGAATCAGTACCCAAGACGCCGATGCTATATTCGAGGACCTGGATCACGACGGAGATGGAAAAATCAATTTTGAAGACTTTTCCAAAGGTTTTACTGATTTTCTCACACTTTCTTCGACACCGCCTGGAAAGGAAATGGTTCTCACAAACCCGATTCAAAAACAAGCGTTCGATCCTTACTCGGATTCTTGTCTCGACGACGAGAAGAAACAAGTGGTATTCCAAGCCTGGCAGAACTTAACAAACGAGCTAGGAAAAGCTGGGAATCTTATCAGGTCAGTTGAACAAGTTTAGGTGTACTATAGAGAGTAATTTGTTTTCCAACAAGGTGTTTAAAAATATTTTTTACTACAAAAATAAAAATATAAACGATACAACAAGTGGTACAACTAGCCACTAATAGGTCAAAAACAGACAGTTATTTGACTAAATAATTCATAATAACATTAATAGACATTTAAATAAAATTATTACCAGCGTCATTGTGATATTTTATTTCACCAGTATCTCGAACTTTGAGATTTATTCAGTTCTTTTGTAAAATAATGTCTTACATTAAATGTTTCCTGAAAGCTATGTTTTAATTGGTTGAGTTTCTGGAATTTCGTTTCTAAACGTTGATAAGGCTTTCTGAAATTACTGTTTAGTATTAGTTTTTAAATTGATTAAGCTGTAATTATTCTTGACTGAGCTTTAGTTTTGAGGACTGTAAGTTATTTACGTCTAAAGGATCTGCACGTAACGACTTTTCAGTGCTTTTACTTCTTATCTATAATAGTTATAGAACCTGGCCAATGTGTCCTATTGTAATATCTATAGAAGATGTCCAGTCAACCCGGTTGTACTATCTATGGAAGACGGCCAGGGTGTTCAGGTGACTGTAATATCTCTGGAAGGTATTCAGTATGCCCAGTAACATCTATACAAGATGACCTTTGTATCCGGTTTTAACATCTCTCTCTAAAATGACTAACCTGTCTCTGGCTTGTAATATCTTTCTAGGATAGCCAATCTGTTCTGCTGACAATGTTATCTCTATAAAGTAGACAGTGGATCAAGTTGTAATATCTATAGAAGGTAGAAAATGTGTTCAGTTATAATATACATACAAGATAACCAGAGTATCCGGCTGTAACATCTCTAGAAGGTAGACAGTGTGTCTGTTGTAATACCAATATAAGATGTTCAGTATCTCGGGAAATATATTTACAAGATTACCGGACTCTCTAGCTTTAATGTCTGTAGAAGGTAGACAGTGAGTCCTGTTGTAATATCTAAAGGTAGACAGTGTGTCCACCTTCTAGAGATATTACAACTAGACACACTGTCTACCTTCTACAGGTACTACAACCAGACAGTGTGTCCGTTTTTTGTAGTACCTGTAGAAGGCAGACAGTGTGTCTAGTTGTAATATCTCTAGAAGGTAGACAGTGAGTTTGGTTGTAATATCTGTAGAAGGTAAGCAGTAGTCCGGTTGTAGTACCTGTAGAAGGTAGACAGTGTGTCCGGTTGTAGTACCTGTAGAAGGTAGACAGTGTGTCTAGTTGTAATATCTGTAGAAGGTAAGCAGTGGTCTGGTTGTAATATCTATAGAAGGTAGATAGTGTGTCCGGTTGTAGTACCTGTAAAAGGTAGACACTATTTCTGGTTGTAATATCTCTAGAAGGTAGACAGTATGTCCGGTTGTAATATCTAAAGGTAGACAGTGTGTCCGGTTGTAGTACCTGTAGAAGGCAGACAGTGTGTCTAGTTGTAATATCTCTAGAAGGTAGACAGTGAGTTTGGTTGTAATATCTGTAGAAGGTAGGCAGTATATCTGGTTGTTATATCTCTAGAAGGTAGACAGTGTGTCCGGTTGTAATACCAATACAAGATGTTCAGTATATCAGGTAATATCTGTACAAGATGACCTGACTATCCGCTTGTAATATCTATTGGAGGTAGTCAGTGTGTTCGGTTGTAATTATGGTTGGTAACCCAAATGACGTATTCGGTTCGTTGTTTTCTTTCCCACAATAGGTGTTTCTGAATGTTACCTTAAAATAAGTAAAATAACAATCAAAAATACTACACGCTATTGTATCATTCTATTAAAATATGCTATTTGAATTATATGAGTTATTAGTGGACATATATATATATATAACTGAAAGCCACAAGAAAGAAATTTCTTTTTGTATGTATTCACTCTGCCACGTAGTCTAATCTGAGTACTGTGAGTCGCTTTTTTTTCTTCATATATATTAATCATTCGTGTGTTAGTTTTGTGCTTGGAAAACATATACTTCTCGGTAAACTGTTGATCAGTTGTTGATACAGCTGACTACAGTATCACGTGATATGTGTAAAGGCACCTTAGATTTTGAATCACACATTTATAAAGTTGAGATACAACATTCTGTATGTTTTAACTGGTCATAACAAGAACTCGTGGTAAAGTGTTAGTTCATTGGAAATAAAATATTGATCGCACAGTACCCCATATTTTGAATAATGTTAGTTTGCAAACATGTACTGTTACCACATTCTTTAACCAGAAATGATATTTACTCAAAACGGGCTGGGCCTAATCACCTTTGCTGTCCTGATATGTGACTACTTTTATCAGGTGTCTGGATGACGTATTAAAGTTTTCAGTGTCAGGAATGAAACGATAACCTTTCATGTGCCACAAAATGGTTACTAATAGTGCCAGCAAAATTACTGGGATGACGTCATCCTGAAGCTATTTGGTATTAAAATATGAATGGAATCATCATATCGTTTCAAGGACTCATATCTAAACACGAAATACAGGCGGATTTCTCTCGGGAAGAGAAAATTAACTTCAATAAAATAAAAACCAGCATTGCTACTAATTTGTTTCCTCAAATACCTCGGCTAGCTTTCACGGAAGTTAAAAAATACCTCGGCTAGCTTTCACGGAGGTTAAAACATACCTCAGCTAGCGTTTACGGAGGTTAATAATACCTCGGCTAACTTTCACGGAGGTTAAAAATACCTCGGCTAGCTTTCACGGAGGTTAAAAGATACCTCGGCTAGCTTTCACGGAGGTTAAAAAATACCTCGGCTAGCTTTCACGGAGGTTAAAAGATACCTCGGCTAGCTTTCACGGAGGTTAAAAAATACCTCGGCTAGCTTTCACGGAGGTTAAAAGATACCTCGGCTAGCTTTCACGGAGGTTAAAAATACCTCGGCTAGCTTTCACGAAGGTTAAAATAAAATGTATTCTTTTAAGCAGTACTCTAAAAGCCCCCACCACCCTTGTGGCTTAGTGATAAGTCTGTGTAGTTACAAGCTGAAAATCGGGTTTCGATACCCGTGGTGGGCACAGCGCAAATAGCCTATAGTGTAGCTTTACGCTTAACAACAAACAAAATGTTTCTATAATTCTGTGTAAAATTACAAGTTAACACATCAGCGTGGAGATAGTCTAAAAAAATCATGTTGTTCTCAAAAATATTAGGGCAGGAATTTATTCAAACTGAAGGTTAATTTGAAATGTGTGGATAAAGGAAGTTAAGAGATCGTCCTCTAATCCATTTAGGTACGTAATTTTACACATTTAGGTACATAGTTTCACAGAAGATCGTGAGTCATTGTGGTTTTATATCATATCTATTGTTTGCTCGTTAGGCATTTTACAAAACAGAATTACAGGTAATAAAAATTTGACAAATTTTAAAAAGGTTTACTCACTAAAACCCACAGAACCATTATAAAGGTTGAACAGAAGTGTTTGAGAGATTGACTTTTTAACTACTGATTTTTAGCAGACACCAGGAGTCAGCAGCTTGTGTAATACTACTTATTGTGAAAAGTAATATTTCAATGGATATGTTGTATTAATTTTAATTTTTTACTCACTAAAACCCACAGAACCATTATAAAGGTTGAACAGAAGTGTTTGAGAGATTGACTTTTTAACTACTGATTTTTAGCAGACACCAGGAGTCAGCAGCTTGTGTAATACTACTTATTGTTGAAAAGTAATATTTCAATGGATATGTTTTATTAACTTTAATTTTCCTTTCAAAAATGTCCCCATCAACAACCATATGAAAAAACAGTAATAGTTTCCTCGTTGGAGCTTCTTATAAAATGATTTGGCAGCTAGTCAATATTGTTTCTTGTTGTTTAGTTGAGAGTGCTTGGGACGTGTGCAGGTAGTTAGTACACATAGTACGAAATATATCATCATTCCAGGTGTAGCTTACAACGTACTTGAACTGAAGTGAAAATTGTTGTACCAATCATGTATGCAGAGAATGTTCAAATTATAATAAATTAAAACACTGTGTAGTTACAAGAAGAAAAGCAAATTCATTAGATTAACTTAAAAGCCTTTTATGCGTGTGCGTAAGATACTCTTCCCAATAAAATTAATAATATTCATTCTTTACCTCCTAGCGCCCCCCAGTGGCACAGCGGTATGTCTGCGGACTTACAACGCTACAATCTGGGTTTCGATACCCGTGATGGGCAGAGCACAGATCCATTGTGTAGCTTTGTGCTTAATTACAAACAAACAAACAATACCGAATTCGATGACGAGGAACCCACTTTGAGACTAATAATGGCTGGAAACGGCTTGAACGGGTAATGAAGAAAAACTTTATTATAAGTTACCTGATGATGACAAAACCTTGTCGAAACGTTGTACATTTGCTGTTACGTTAAACTTATGTTAAAGTTTTTCTTTATTACCCATTCAAGCCGTCTCTAGCCAATATTAAACAAACAATACCTTTTAGCACTGGCCCGGCGTGGCACCTGGTTAAGGCGTTCGACTCGCAATCTGAGGGTCGCGAGTTCGAATCCCCATCCCACCAAACATGCTCGCCCTTTCAGCCGTGGGGCGTTATAATGTGACGGTCAATTCCACTATTCTTTGGTAAAAGAGTAGCTCAAAAGTTGGCAGTGGGTGGTGATGATTAGCTGCATTCCCTCTAGTCTTACACTGCTAAATTAGGGACGGCTAGCGCAGATAGCCTTCGTGTAGCTTTGCGCGAAATTCAAAAAACAAACAAACAAACTTTTAGCACTTTTATAAGCAGCGCCATCTCTGAGATAACTGATGCATTATTATTATCTGACAGAACAGCCCCCACTGGCACAGCGGTATGTCTGCGGACTTACAACGTTAAAATCCGGATTTCGATACCTGTGGTGGGAAGAGCACAGATAACCCATTGTGTAGGTTTGTGCTTAATTACAAACAAACAAACAAACTGACAGAAGTTAATATGTGGGGTTTTAGTAGCCTGCTGTAAACAAACAAACAAACTGACAGAAGTTAATATGTGGGGTTTTTAGTAGCCTGCTGTAAAATACTTTACAGCTGTGTTAGCTATAGAAACTGAACAAGTGTAACCCGTCAGGCTAGAAAAATTATTTTTTTCATTAAAGCAGAGGTTTTACTTTTTTTAACTTAAAAAGTTTACTCTTCTCCCAATCAGTCATTTCAAACCAAATATTGTTATATATATATATATCTGTTTGAATTTTCTTACACCAAACACAGTCAAAAGTCAGATATATTAATTCCCTACCCAATTTACAAGATTGACATAAATTGGTAATTGCATTCTCTCAGAAACTGAGGTTGATTATTGGATTAATGCTACAAATACGATAATTACAGTAAGCGACAGCTAACTTTGACCACCTGCCTCATTTATCAGTAGAAATGATTGGAATTCGAGTATTTAATATAACAAGTAGTAATACGTATTTGTACGCCAAAATAATTACTGTATTAATTATTGAAACACGTGAAAAATACAGAATAAAAAAGAACAAAATGGAAATCATTATGGCGCGAACGCCTTATAATAACAGTTGTTATAATTAATTATAATAATGCTTTGCCAGCTTGAAAAAGGCGTTCGCACCATAACGATTTTTGCTGTAACAAATGTCTAATAGAAATAGTGTTCCGACTCTTGCTGTATCCCAGCCGGCCTGATAAGTTCGATATGAGCGAAACGCGTCATCAGCAACGAATATGTTGAACATAATGTGGTTGAAATACTATCACTATACACTCTTCTAATTCTTGAAAATCCCCAATGGACTAGATAAAGAATGTAGTGTTTAAAATGGAATAGGCCTAACACTAAACATAATTCAAAAAGAAAGTCAGTTGTAAACAGTGCATTCCTAAATTTTATGTATATTAATACAGAAATATTTTTATTGTAATTATACATTTGATGTATGTTACCAGTCGAGTATTTAGATGGATCTTCTTAATAATTTTCCTGTTTTTTTGTTGTTTTTTACCTTTTCTTATTATATGTATGTTTTATTTTCAAATCTTATATTTCCTAAGTGCTCAATTTCTATTTAATGAAATTGTAGAAAAATCCTTTGGCAACTCTGCTATTAGCTTCAGAGATTACAATAGCACTAAAATTCTGAGTTTGGTTCCTGTGGTGAGATATACCAGATATACCATTGTACAGTTTTTCTCTTTAAAACAAACAAGAAGTAACTAAAGTGCTATTGTCAGTGAATTTATTGGAAATTAAAGGAATTATTTAGTGGATAAAATGTGAAAAAAATGAATGTTTTACTTGGTCTCCGGGTTTGAATTACAGCTTTGCATTTTTTCCCTTTAGCGAAGAGAAACTTCTGGATTTGTACAAAGTGCTTCAGAGCTCTGAGCGTCCACATTTAGTTTCATATTTTGAAACGGTTATTGGTGATTTACTTGAAAACGTCAGAAACCTTCAGGAAGAAAATGAACAGCTGGAGAGTTCTTGGAAAAGGTAAAAGTTGATTCCTCAAGCTTTAGTTATCAGGAAAATCAATTTCAATATCGTTTTATCTAAGACCTTGAGTGATTAACTCCATCAGCTTGTGACTTAATTGACCTGCTGAGTTGAAGGTGAAACAGTGACTCAATTAGCCTGCTGAGTAGGATGAAACGGCAATTCAATTAGTCTGCTGAATTTAAGTGAAAGAATGACTCAGTTTACCCCTGGCCGAAGTGGAGTGAAAGAATGACTCAGTTTACCCCTGGCTGAAGTGGAGTGAAAGAATGACTCAGTTTACCCCTGGCTGAAATGGAGTGAAAGCATGACTCAATCAGACTGCTGAGTTTGGGTAAAAAATCTTGTTCTATCGACGTCTGTATTGGAGTGAAACAGCGATTAAATCAGTCTGCTGAGTTCGAGTGAAACTATGACTCACATCAACTTGTTGAATTCGGGTGAAACAGTGATTAAATCGGTCTGCTGAGTTCGAGTGAAACTATGAGTCACATCAACTTGTTGAATTCGGGTGAAACAGCGATTAAATCAGTCTGCTGAGTTCGAGTGAAACTATGACTCACATCAACTTGTTGAATTCGGGTGAAACAGCGATTAAATCAGTCTGCTGAGTTCGAGTGAAACTATGACTCACATCAACTTGTTGAATTCGGATGACACAGCGATTCAATTAAATTCCGATGTTGGGCTAAACAGTGATATTTAGCGACAGGTTTCGTCAAATGAAAGTTGAAATGCTGTAAACCCACCCATCTTGTTCACTGGAAATAGATATCGATCTAATCAAGACTGCAGCGGCAAAAGTTATTGCCAATTTTAACTGAATATTAAATATAATCTTTCCTGCAGGAATACCATGTTGAAAGTGAATGAAGATTGAGGTGTAAAGTTAGTTTACTAGGTCATGTGCTTTTCCAGCTCAGTGATATACAACTGTCAGAGTTTCATTATTTGAAAAATGTATTCAACAATATATCATACAAGAGTCGACAAACTTAAGCACAGTGAACTCTGTTTTCTGCTAATGTTCTCCTTAAGTTTACCCAAGACACTATATAAATTTTTCTTTATCCAAGCAAAATTTCGTGGATATTATGTGCATTTAGAATTACTTGAAAAATAATAACATTATGTATAAATCCCTTACTTAGAAAGACCTTAAAAACATTTCGAAGTTAGATAATCTTTCATCAGTGGTGAAATGGGGTGTGTCCAAATATCAAACAAAATATATTTTGATCATTAATTCGAACACTTGCAGTTGACTGATTTCTGACAACCAAGTTTAAACCTTTTAAACAGGTGGCTGTTTTTCAGTTACCTTGAAACAAAATAGAATCTGCTTGTAAGTAGATGTCACGAGTCAATATAACCTTTGCTTGGTAATGAAATAGAAATGTGTTTTTATATTTCATGAGACAATGTTGTTATTGATCAAAGTAGGCAAGTATTGTTGCGGTAAACATTATTCATGCCAGAAGCAGTTACACAGAAGTGACTGAAACGTCATCTTCGCGCTTATCACGAGATAACGCAATTATTTGGTCATACTGAAAGCTTATGACGAAGCTTCACGATAAGTCTTTTAGATAATTAATGTCTAAATAAGCTTCCAGTTACGAAGAAACTTATTTTTTTGTCATTAATGTTTGTTTCAGGTTTACGTTTATTAATATTGTACAGCTACATGTATATTATCATAAACAAACAGTGTAGTTGGAGTATGATGACGTATGAATATTAATTTTCATTTGGTGTGATGTATCGAGTGAATTTGTTGGATACGTTAGTCATTTGTAAAACCACAATTTGGAGTTTTTTATGTCTGAAATTAAGAGAGAGTTGTGATGAAGCGCAAAATAAATTCAAAATAATTCTCATTATTTGTAACTTATAAAATGTTTAATGAGATATGATAAACTTAAAATATATTTATTTAAGTCACTATACATTTGTGTTTGAATCATATCTATTTAGTTCACTATAAATATGTGTTTGAATCATATTTATTTAAGTCACTATAAATATGTATTTGAATCATATTTATTTAAGTCACTATAAATATGTCTTTGACTCATATCTATTTAAGTCATTATAAATATGTATTTGACTCATATCTATTTAAGTCACTATAAATATGTATTTGACTCATATCTATTTAAGTCATTATAAATATGTATATGACTCATATCTATTTAAGTCACTATAAATATGCCTTTCACTCATATTTATTTAAGTCATTATAAATATGTACATGACTCATATCTATTTAAGTCACTATAAATATGTATATGACTCATATCTATTTAAGTCACTATAAATATGCCTTTCACTCATATTTATTTAAGTCATTATAAATATGTACATGACTCATATCTATTTAAGTCACTTTAAATATGTATATGACTCGTATCTTTTTAAGTCACTGTAAATATGTATTTGACTCATATCTATTTAAGTCACTATAAATATGTATATGACTCATATCTATTTAAGTCACTATAAATATGTCTTTCACTCATATTTATTTAAGTCACTATAAATATGTATTTGACTCATATCTATTTAAGTCACTATAAATATGTATTTGATTCATATCTATTTAAGTCACTATACATAAGTACATGACTCATATCTATTTAAGTCACTATAAATATGTATATGACTCATATCTATTTAAGTCACTATAAATATGTATTGACTCATATCTATTTAAGTCACTATAAATGTGTATATGACTCATATCTATTTAAGTCACTTTAATTCGCTCTGCATATACATACGTGTTTTATTCATATATATGTATAAGTCACTTTAATTCGCTATACATATACATACGTGTTTTATTCATATATATGTATAAGTCACTTTACATGTATGTTTGAAACATATCTATTTCATGTATTTGACTCATATCTATTTAAGTCACAATACACATGTGTTTGAATCATATTTATTTAAGTCATTATAAATATGTGTTTGACTCATATCTATTTAAGTCATTATAAATATGTATTTAACTCGTATCTATTTAAGTCATTATAAATATGTATTTGACTCATATCTATTTAAGTCATTATAAATATGTATTTAACTCGTATCTATTTAAAGTCACTTTAATTTACTATACATACGTGCTTTATATATATATATATATATATATAAAATCACTATACATATATGTTTGAATCATATCCATTTTGGTCACAATACGCATGTGTTCGACTCATATCTATTTAAGTCTCTGAACACATATCCTTAACTCATATCTATACACATGTGTTTGAATAATATTTATTTAAGTCATTATACGTATATGTTTGAATCCTATCTAGTTAAATCACTATACATATGTATTTGAAACATGTCTATTCAAGCCATTATACATAAATGTTTGTATCATGTCTGTCTGTCAAAGAAACTTCATTTGATAATAAGCTATTAAATATGGAAATATTTAAAGTTGTATTTTTGATAACATTTGAATGTGAATGTTCATCATATATGTAATTTTAAAGATTAATAGCTGTATGTTCATCATATATGTAATTTTAAAG